AAGGAACGGCTGTTTGCTACCTTGAGACGACACAGCGGCCGGGAGCGTGAGGCTCCTGGAAGACGGAGCGTGCAGTGCCGAGGCCCCCGCGCACACTCTCTGCGCTATTTTTACTTTTATAAGCCTTTTTGCAACGTTGAGCATAAAGCAATAAGCTTTTAACAGCGCCGCCGGGATGCTCCTTCCCTTAAGAACCAAAGGCACTGATTGGTTTCCGTTCAAACACAGCTTTTGCCATTAAGAAAAAACACTGTAATCCATCACTGCCGTGCATCTTCCCACTTACAGGCGCGCAAGCAGCGTTCACCTGCACGTCCAAATTGGGACTGGCACCAGGAATTCCCCGGAGGGAGAAACGCCAATACTTATTTCACACCCTGCTGTTCCCGTTAGCCAAGGCAACCCTCAGCAAATAGCCGAGCAGGAAGGAGGTTTCCACTCCTTTAGCCTTCTGGTGGAAAGATCCCTTCCTGGCACGTTTCTCATCATTCACTGGGAGCCACTCAGGGCTTCCCGTATCTGCTGTTGAAGACCAACTTCTTACTGTAGAGAAAAGTCCACCTCAGCCAGCACCCAGGTACAGCCCCTGGCTGCAGCTGAAAAACAGACAGCAAATGCAAGAGGAGGTTGTTTCACTGCATCCCTTGTTTGAGGCCTCTTTTTCCTATCGTGACTAGCTCGTTTTAGTGTCTTACTGCTGCAAGCACAAGAAGCAGCGAAAGGAGAGAGAGAAATATTCTGCCTTGCTCCCCTCTACATCAGGGCCAGAGAGGACTGAGGAGGGAAGAGAGGAAAGGAACCTCTTTCTTCTGAGGGAGGGTGGTCAGAGTCATGCCAAAGGTACCAGCATTCCTGTACGGTGATGGATACTAGCACCCCAGCACGGTGATGGGTGCCAGCATCCCTGCGTGGTGATGGGTGCCAGCATCCCAGCACGGTGATGGGTACCAGCATCCCTGCGGGGTGATGGGTGCCAGCATCCCAGCACGGTGATGGGTACCAGCATCCCTGCGGGGTGATGGGTGCCAGCATCCCAGCACGGTGATGGGTACCAGCATCCCTGCGGGGTGATGGGTGCCAGCATCCCAGCACGGTGATGGGTACCAGCATCCCTGCGGGGTGATGGGTGCCAGCATCCCAGCACGGTGATGGGTACCAGCATCCCTGCGGGGTGATGGGTGCCAGCATCCCAGCACGGTGATGGGTACCAGCATCCCTGCGGGGTGATGGGTGCCAGCATCCCAGCACGGTGATGGGTACCAGCATCCCTGCGGGGTGATGGGTGCCAGCATCCCAGCACGGTGATGGGTACCAGCATCCCTGCGGGGTGATGGGTGCCAGCATCCCAGCACGGTGATGGGTACCAGCATCCCTGCGGGGTGATGGGTGCCAGCATCCCAGCACGGTGATGGGTACCAGCATCCCTGCGGGGTGATGGGTGCCAGCATCCCAGCACTGTGATGGGTACCAGCATCCCTGCGTGGTGATGGGTGCCAGCATCCCTGCACGATGATGGGTACCAGCATCCCTGCATGGTGATGGGTACCAGCATCCCAGCACAGCGATGGGTGCCAGCATCCTGGCATGGTGATGGGTGCAGCATCCCAGCATGGTGATAGGTACCACCATCCCAGCACAGTGATGGGTGCCAGCATCCCTGCGCAGTGATGGGTGCCAGCATCCCTGCGCAGTGATGGGTACCGGCAACCCCGCGTGGTGATGGGTACCAGCATCCTTGCATGGTAACGGGTGCCAGCATCCCTGCACGGGGATCGGTACCAGCATCCCTGCTCAGCGACAGCAGTCTCCTACTCCCTGACCTAACAGGATGCCCTAATGGGAGAAAAGTGGGCTTCACCTCCATGGCCTGAGGCTGCCAAAGGCAGGCGTGCTCTCCAACACCCTGGACACTCGCCCAGCAGGACTGAAAAGAAAACCCTCTCCTCCACGCCAGTACGACCCAAACTCACAGATCCTAGCAGGAGCCCTGGCTCATCATTCCCTCGAGACCCGCAGCTCCTTTCGCAGGCAACCTAAAAGCCATCAAATGAGGAGGAAAACTAAAGCAGCGCAAAATTAATTCCAGGTGAGCAAACTCCCCGTGCACCGAGACGTTACCGGCTCCCCGGCCGCCTCCGGCGGGGGAACCCGC